AGTATGTGTGCGACACCACAAGATGGAGAGTGAATAATACAATGTAGGAGCAAGAGAAAAGAAAAAGTAAAAGAAGAAAAAAAAGAGTTACACTGTGTCATATATATTATCGTCGGACGGCTTAAACATTGCAAGTAGAGTAGAAAGAAAAAAACTGAGTCAACAGGAAAGCTAGCCTTGATACATCAAATATTGATTAACTTCTAGTGGGTCCATATGTTAATCATTTTTTTCATTGAATATATTTGTTGTTTTCGGTTGTCAACTTTGAATTAGTTAACCAATGTCTTCGTATTCAGTTTCTTCTGGCCTTCAAAATGCATTAATAGAATCAACATCTCTCGTCTTAGATGATTCACTGCTTAATTATGATGTTGTTATTCAGTTTCATTCCGCCGAGGTTCATTTATCATTAATTTTTCTTTTACAATACATCTTCATTTTTCAGGGTTTACCAAGAAAGGATATCGTTGGATATGCTGATCCATATTTTATAGCAAATATTGATGATCAAATATCATTTACGTAAGTCTCAATTTTTTTTCTTTTCAAATAGAAATATCAGACTTAACCAAAGAAAATCGAGTAAGAAACTTTCTCCACTCCTACTTTCATTTTTGTAGAAAAAAAAGCTTGTTAGCGCAGCCCCTTTGGGGCTGAAATGTGGAACTCACATATCTTCTTTACTTTCACTCTGCTGATGGCAACATATATAATATTTAAATTCTCTCAGAGACGATAATTCTTTTCTAATGATAATTGATTGTTAGGAAATGTTGTCGTTTTTCATTTATATACTTCGAGTAGAATCTTTTTTTGTGAAGTTGCTATGGTCTGTAAGGGGAAACTGTCTGTAGTGAGGGCGAGGGGGTATGTATGTAACGTTCTTTTTCGTTGCTATGTGTCCGTAATGGGGGCATCCATGTAATGTTCTTTTTGGTTGCTATGTGTCTGTAATGGGGGCATCCATGTAATGTTCTTGTTGGTTACTATGTGTCTGTAATGGGGGGTATCCATGTAATGTTCTTGTTGGTTGCTATGTGTCTGCAATGGGGGGGGGGGAGGGGGGGAGCCGCAAAAACTTGACCTTAAAACTTACACTCAATATTTTCTTCGAAAATATATGTGAGTTCCACAAAAAGGAATTCATACCCTATTATAACAACTAAGTAACATTAGAAAGCCACACATTTCTTTTTATTCAATATATTTTGTCATGATTTATAATTATATTCTTAAATTCTAGATCAACCATTCTATCCAATACAGCAACACCTAAATGGGATGATGAAAAATGGATTATTCGTAACATTCCATTGAATGCAAAACTTACTGTTAAAATCTATGATAAAGATGATGAGAAAATTTTTGATGATTACATTGGTGAATTTGAGGTTCTCAATCTAATTAATTATCATGCACCACCAAAAGGTCATCAAATAAATGGTCTATTAAACTATCCTTGTGGTTATTTTCATTTATCTATTCATTCAATAAAATCATCAGAAGAAACAAAACATCTCCCTCCTTATACATTTGATGGTCCTTGTCGATATTCTTGTCACAATTCATTTGCTGTTGGTCGTTTAACTATGCTAAATGCGGATTGTGTTTATTCAACATGGAAAATAAATCTAAGAAGAATTTCAGTTTTTTTTAAACCTCAACAAAAACAACATTGGAATACCAAATACAAAGCAGCACAAGCTATATTTGGACATGGTCCTACCTCATTAGCATCATTGGCTACAATCAAGTTAGCACATAAAGTGCTTTACGGTCGAACATTAAAACATCATGAAAATGGACAATTAACTAATGCTAATGATCTTTGGAAATTAATTTTTTCAGATCGAACAACACAATGTATTAAACCTTGTATTTATACATATGTTATTGATGATAATACATGGCGTTTTAGTGAAACTGATGTTCAATTTTTTGCTGATTTGGCAAGTAAACATGCATTATTAGCTAATGGATCAGAATATGTTCGTTATGCTGGTGAATTTCATCCACGACCAAAGTATGGATGGGATAAATGTGATGATGAATGGGAATTAGTATTCGACAATGGATCTGGCACTTACTCTCCTAATTCTGATCTATTGATTAATTTAAAAGAATTATTATTATTCAATTTTCCTGGACTAAATATAGTTACATATGAATATAAAGATCCAAGACTGAAAGAAAGTGTGACACAGTTAAAACGCGAAATGGAAAAATATAAACATAATACAACAACAATTCAACACCTTGTTATGTCTTTGCCAGATTCAACTGAAGAGAAGATTTGATATGATTTGTAATAGTGTATTTTTTTTAATGTTTTTTTCGTTGAAATATCTATTTGTAGATATGACTTTCAGCTAACCATAACAGAAAACACATTGTACCAATTCGACAAAATCAACATGAGTTTTACAATGAAATCTTTAATGTCAGCTTGGACATTTTTACATGTCTATTGCACTGTATATACTAATTAATTCTTGTAACGATACATGAAATTATTAACTAAACTCAAACTTTCTAGACTAGTAAAGTAATATAGTAAATTCAAATTGATAAATACAAGAAAAATATTATACGACAAAAATCATACTTTCTCATGCACGGCACTTATATTATTTCATATGATCAACAGACATTTTTTTTTCTTTTATTTTAGGATCTGATGAAATTATCGATGTGTTTTTTTTTCCTTCTATGTACTTCACGTGTACTTGATTACTTTTGTTTTGAATATTATTGACAAGACTGAATTAATAATAAACATTGTTTTCAGAAACATATGATCTTCTATTGAGACAATAACATATAGATAAATATAGCATGTGATACATTCAGACAGACTTCTATGGAAAAAAAAAAGAATTCTTTATCCTTTGACAACCTCTACCATTCTCTCAATGTTGCCCTATTACTGTCTCCCGTAGGTTTTTTGTTCTTTCTTTTTTTCTCATCCAATAATGAAGTATTTTATGATATCGTTACATCGAAACACAGAGTCAACGCTCATATTTTGTATTACCTTGTTTTCTTTGTTTGCTTGTCGTTGTAATTTTACAGCTAAACTAACAGTTTTCATTTGAAGATGAATAATCGTTTTGTATTTCTAAAAATAATAAATTGTTGAATTAATAACAACAGAAGGATACTTGCTTCATTGCCAAAGTTCGACTTATTCACTGATTACCAGAGACAGGTGAATTCTCTTTTTTGTTCGTTCTCTTCCGTCGAGATAGAAGTACAAGCGATGTATCCATAGTACCTTCGTTTTTCTTTTTTTTTACGAACACTACCTTTTCCATCTGAAATAATTAACATAGAATATGTGTTATTTCTGCAGCACGTATAATATGAGAGCAGCGAACGGTTGTAACCGTATTTCAAAAGCCACTCGATATTAAAAAAAATGAAAATTTCAAAGCCAGGATTAAATGATATTTTAATTTGAAATATTGTTTGCGACATAAGCCGTTGAAATTTACATCGAACCCATGGCAGTAAGAAATAGGGGTGAGTGTGTGTAAAAAGATTACCCACACCCTTACTGCCGTACACAACGCATTCAAGATACAATTTCCCTTTGCCTTCAATTCCGTCTCCATTGTGGTTGTATCACAAGTGTCTTTTTCGTGAAGTACGGGTGGTCCAGACACATGTGCCTAGAAAATGGTGCATTACTGTATTGCTTGTGCAGAAAAACAAAAATAGTTGATGATGATTGATATGTAGGAGAAAAGAAAATATCGATCCACATGCTTACAGCCACAGTTAATTTTATTTCTAGGCCACGAAAACTCTAAAAATCTCTTTGTAAATTCTTAAGATCGCGTTATCTCTCGATGAAACACTTTTTAATTAAAAATCACGAAAATTAATAAGATGCAAAAGAAGACCTCAGAATCTTCTATTGTGAAAGCCTTATAGTTATAGTCACCTGCTATCGATTTCAGAAGAAATTTTAAATTCTAGTATCATCACTAAAAGTGATATGATAGCCGAGCGTTTCATAGATTCCCAATAAGAACCTATTGTTTCATGACTACAAATTACTGATTATCATACTTTTCACGAAGATGATGCGATATCATACGGGAGAGCTTTCTCCTCAGAAAACAATAGTTAGAATACACTTGTGCATTCATGGTGAAACATCAGCTAATCATTTTATCGACGCATATAATTCGCATCGGACAAGAATTTTCGGCAAACTCCGTAGAATATTCGGTAAAGGGTGTGTTATACGGGTAATAGTTTGATGCTTACACGGTTGGCTATATATCCTCTAACCGTGATATACCGAGAATTGTGTTCTGGTTGGCAATCTACTATCCATTTTTATGAGTACAACGGAATACGAGCGAGCGCTAATGCGAACAAACCTGCAATATGGAGAGTCATCTATCGAATAGTTTCTATTTGTCAATGACTTCAATGAATTATGAAAATTGAAAAAAGAAAGAATCGTGAAAAATCATTTAATGAATTAAAAATGACTATTGAAATGAATACGTCTTCAAATACGAATTTATTGTATTTAATAGACCAAATTCGTTCAAATCTTTCAACTCCTAATGGAAATGAAACTATGACAGAAACTCCTCGTGCTCATGCATGGCTTTTAACAACATTATCAATTTATGGTGATCAATTTAATGTTTTAATTGATTTATATCGTTTATTTCGTAAACAAAATTCTTATATATTATTATCATTTATAATAGAACATATTTTACAATATCATATAAATGAAATAGATAAAAACAATTATTTACAAGAAGAATTTCAATTGATATTCACAACTTCTTCTCATAAGTAAGAGAAAATATTTTTTCAAAAAAAAAATTTAAACTCCAATAAAAATTTTAGTTTAATTGAAAAAGATCGATTTTCTTATCATCATCTTTATTCACTTTTATCATCATCAACACGTGATATAATATCTTCATTATTAATACGTAAATGGTATGATGAACTTGAAAAAAATCTTTTATCATTAACAACATCAATAGAATCATTAAATCAATGTCGTGAAAAAGCTTTTGCTTGTTTATCATTATCATCATCATCATCAATATCCTCAATACTTCAATTAATAATAAATACCGAAGATAAAATTGGGTTTAATACAAAAATAACATCATTAAATATTTTACGTTGTTTATTTGTACAAGATCTTTTACCAATTGTATTAGAAAATCGTCAACGATTAAATATTCAACCACATTTATGTCATAAATGGTTAATTTATGCTATTGAATTTTATTTAGAATATTTAATAAAATGTTTTCAAAATAATCAGATAACAAATATTCCTGTTAGATTAGAAGGAAATTATGATCGAACATATCAATGTGATAATCCTATTGAACAAATTGAAAAATTAATGAATTTAGCTATGAGTGGACAAGAAAATTTTAATTGGCAACAATTTATTATTCAGCCTGGAAATCAAATGTATGTATTTGATAACATTCGTATTAAGAATAGAATACATTAGTTTAAAGAAGAACCATATAAGTTAATGAGAAAAGAAAATAAATTAAAAAATTATTGCATGAGTATAAGTGGCGTCTTCTTTGTTTCCACGTCACTCACTATTCTTTTGATTTTCTTTTATTTGAATAAATTTTGAGAGCGTCCTCAAAAATGCTTCTTCTTTCTGCTAGCATCTTCTTTGTAAGCGCAGATTAATACTAATCGTATATAATATGTTCGAACAGGAAAAAAAAAACTGAATATCCCAAATATTTTCTAGCATCAATAGAAAAAAGTTTCAGCTCGATTAAAGGGTGATTTGCCATCTGTTTTTGTTAAAAGCTCATTTTTCATTTATAGTTGTATATTAATTCTTGAAAAATCCTTACTAGATAGGAAATAGTTCGAACCGTATGTCGAGGAACAAAAAACAAACATGAAACATCTGAAAATTTTGAATCTAAAATGAAAGATTTTCTTTAACCAACTTGCGTTAAAGTAGGTGTAATTAATATACTATAACAGTTGCCAAGAAGTTTTAATATTTAGCAAAATCCTGTGTTTTTCATCAGTATGTTTTTTATTGAATTGCTGTAAAATATCATAGGTTCTCTTGATGTTGTTGTTTTTCTTACTATGTATTTCTGAATCTACTAAAGTCTTCTAAAACACACCAATTCATTTATTTAGAAAGATCGTTAGACATAGGGCTTCATGAGACTTCATATTTTGTCATAGACTCTTTCATGATTCATTGTCTATTTTTCAAGTGTATCGACTGTTTTTTCATAACGATTGATATTCTCCTTATAATACTACGTAATGTCTAGATATACTGCAAAAATGTTGTATAACTATATGTTGATTTAGATCCGATCGATGGTTTATAGATGTATAAGTATGTTGCTAAGTCTCATTCAGAATTTTGTAGGTGCTGTTTCGATCGATGGGAATTCTTCTTTGACAGTTTGTTCGGTTCTTGCTATAAATGAAGAGAAATAGAAAATCAGATATCATTCGAATTCTTTTTTATCTGTTTGAAACAGAACTCAGAATTTTTTTCTCGAATTTTGACTTTTTTTGATAAGTTATAAACTGGAATTTTTGTGGAATTTTTTCATTGTGTAAAACCAAGTCCAATTTAGATATAAAGAAAAAGATAAATTTCAATTATTTTTTCAAACATTCAAAGTAGATTTTTTACCAATAAATATATTCATCAGTCTAATCATTTAGATGTTAGAGATTGTAATAATTAATATCAATTTTAGTATTGGGTTTTGCGGCCAAATGAGATCGTCAAGCTAAAAGAGTTGTAATATTAATTAGCATTTATAGAAATTGATTACCAAAATAATCTATGAGGTCTATTTCCATTTTCTCTGGTGCCTTGATCACTAAAAAGAATTTAAATAATTATTCAAATAGATAAAATATCTATAACACGAATATTAAAAAAAACTAAAATGATGATCAGTTTCCCAAATATGAGATTGCCAGAAGAACAAACCTCCATTTTTTTAACACTCAAAATGCCTAACCATATATTTGTTTCGTTTATACGAAATGGTAGAGCAAACAATTCTTTACAGAATGAAACATACAGCAATCTTACAGAGGCACTTCAAATCATTTTCGATCAAAAATTCAACGTTCGACTCTCAATCAGATTGCTATATCCCAATCAAAAATGACCATACAGAACTCAAACGCCTCTCATTTTGTAGATAATTTTTTTCTTCTATCGTTTTGTGTGGTCGAAATGAAAGTGTATGTGTACTCTCTAGGAAAACAAAACCTGATTGTTTGATTTTCTGGAAACTTCATCTTTGAAAATCTAGCAATCATTTTTTAATAGTCTCCTTGTAATTATTTTTCTTTATTGAAGTCACTATTTCAATTCTTTCATGCGATTAAGACAGCGGAAAAAAAGTTTGTCAAGAAAGTTTCGTTACACTAATACAAAATACGTTAAGTGAAAAATTCCTATCTGGTTATAATTGTTTTCTAACATAATGGGTCGACAGCTAATCAATCTGTCTGATTCATTTCTGTATTTTGAACTGAAATTTGCTTTTACTTGAACATTGTATTTTTTGTTTGCCCGGTTGTTTTTCGTTGTCGTATTACATGGTTCTTTTATTATTATTTCAACTATTGATGGAGCTAGCAAAAGATAGTAGGCTTATGTTTAACAACCCAATTAGATGTCGTTTAGTTTCCATTTCCGTTTTAATATTTTTTTTTCTTCAAAAACAGTTTTCAAATTCTTGATATTACTTTCTCATATTTTAGTGGATCATCAAATCATCGTCAAAAATTATTAGAATTACGTATTCTGATTGATCGTGCTCATAATTCTACAATTCGATGTCCATTAGAATGTTTTATTTTTTGTACATCATTTCCTATTTATATTCAATCAATACTTAATCTTTCAACATTACTTAATAATGAAAAGTATAAAGATTATATATTTATATGTTCAACAACATCAATAAAAACTTTATTAAATAAACAAAATGAAATAACTAATTTTGAATTAATTGAAAATTTTAATTTATTTATTGAATGTCTTAATTTATTACAACAATCTCAAACTTCTCCATGTTTAAAACTTTATCAAGAAACAATTGATAAAATTCATTTAAATTTGAATATTGAAAATTATCAACGTTTATTAAAACTCTTTTATTTTTGCTATATAATACAAAAATCTAAAACAGAAAAAACTACTAAATCAACTGAAGAAACAAATCAAAATAAGATAATAGTTATTGAGTAAGTAAAATATAAATTAATAAATAGATTTTCACAAAATCAAAATAGAATTTACTAACATGACAAAACAACATACAATAAAAACATCCTTTGATGTGAAATGAAGAAAAGATTTCAGAATATCTGTTTCTACAATAGTCTTGAATAAAAGTCTGTTTATTTATTCTCTAGTGTATCTATTTTCATCTAAAGAACTAGAACTGAAAGATTTTTTAATAACAAAGCAAAATTTAATAAAAAAATTTATCAACATGGTTTCATAAGGAGTCAAAGTGTGAAACTAACAAATTTAGACTGTTATAAATTTATGGTATATTATCAGAGAGATGCTAGAATAATTTAAACAAATACCAAATAAATGAAAAACAATTTTTATAGTTGATAGCAATCATCATCTTGATTTGTGATACATATTCATTTAATCGTTCAGTGAGCTTCTGAGCACACCATTCTTTCTCTCGACAAACCTTGGCATATACTGTTGAGTATTACCTAAACTTAGAATTCAATTAGTTCTATCTCGGTCCTATTCTGACTCTACTAGCTCAATAATTAGTTCGAATCTACAGTACAAGTCTTAGACGTATAGAATGCATTGGAAGATTGTAGAAAATTCCCGAATGATCAAAGCAGTGTCATTATTGATGCGCTACTTGCTGTTGATAAGAAAGTGTAACCAATGTTCAACCCTCTCCGGTTTTTATGGCTTAGAAGAGAGTCGCAAAACCTCGACTTGAAACGTACACTCATTATTTTCTTCGAAAATATAGGTCAATTCCAGGAAAAACTGCAATAGTCACCATAATTATCTATACAAATTTGTATTCTTGGTAGCAATTTATCAAATATTCTTTTAAACTCTTCTGGAATATTTTTAACCATCTTGAATATTGCACGAGCCCATGAGATTTTATTTTTTGGGTCAATTAAATTACGCTTGACATAATCATTTAGCTAAAAATGCGTGATGCAAGGTCTGATGACAACGGCGGATACACTATTATATTGATAACGTGTTGTAATAAATAATTATTTAACAATTGGATGACTATAAGGTCGAGCATTGTCATAAAGTCATCTTGTACCTTTTGCACTTGATAACTTACTTGATTTCCATATATCATTGATAATAGGCTTGATTTAAAGAATGTAGATAATAAATTTTTTGGTTCAAATCTACTTTAACGGAGCAACATTCGTTGGTGATTCATCGTTACTAATCTAGCTTGCGTCAGTTGACTTCTATCCAACTTGTCTACGATAAATCCATGTGAGAGAGAGAAATGTCAGTTACAATATCATGACAAATTGAATTGAATCATTGTTGATCAGTTGTTAAATGGATTTATATGAAAGATTATTAGAAATGAATCCAGAATAGGTTTATTATATATACATTCCTTATAGGGTTGAAATTCTACTATTTATTCATGCCACAGACACTTAAATGTTAACTGTTTTATAAAGTTCCTAACAACGTTGCCAGAAATTTTGATCGGATCTTAGTATATCAATAATTTTGATATGTAAAATGTATTTACTCATAGTATCAAAGATCGCAAGAAAATGTTCACATTAGACAGAGGTATTTTCAGGAAAAACCACTCTATTAGATGTGAAACCGTTCATAATTAGGAGGTGTTCATTAGCAAACGTTTTATTATATGAAAAAATGACACACACGTAGACAGTAGTGATAGCTTAATATACATTGAAAATAATATTCTAAATGCACTTTTAGCAAACGAGATACATTTTAATCAAAGTTATGTCTTAGTTCCTTGATTTTTTTGTTACAGTTATTGTAGCGAAGTCAGTAAATGATCTCAATTGACATAACAAAACAAACGTGTAGAGCATGATGCACGAATGAATACAAATATATAATATTTCAATCATTTATAAGTATGATTGATATCTATCTAATTTAGTGACACACCTCAAAGTCCAACAATGCAAGATGATTCAACTGTGGAATCAGATTCTATAGTTAAGAATAGTCCATTGCTTGCACTTGATATTGACAATTTATTTAAAAAATTAAATGATAATTCTCTTGAATCACGTCTTCAAATTTGTTCACTTTTTTCCATATCAAATTTATCTGATCAACGTCATTCAACAATATCATATTGTATTGATACATTAATTTATCTTTATGAGAATTATTCATCAGATAATCAACAACAACAAATATTATTAACAATTTCAACTGATTATTATTTTATACCTCGTTCATATAATATTATTTTTGATTATATATTAGATATTATTCTTCAAAATCTTTCACCAACACTTATTCTTTTACAAATAGAACAACAACGTTTATCATCAACAACAACATCTATTTATCCAAAAAATTTACTGCATACATTATCTCCAACATTACTTCGTTATATATATGATCAAAAATTACTTGGACAATTATTAAAATATATTCAAACAACAACAACAAATGAACGACGTTGGATAGCAAATAATAATAATAAAAGAAAATTAGATGATGAAGATAATAAATTAACTGATGAACAATTTATTGAAAAAATTATTCAACATGTTAGTAATATAACACAATGGACAGATGAACAACAACGTTATGCTATATATACATATATTATTGAACAACGACAAACCCTTCTTCAATCATTATAATTCATTTTCTTTTGTTATTTCATTAAAATAAAACAACTTGTTTCATTACTCATCTAAAGAAAATAAAATTTTTCGCATTTAAAATCCTTTCAAATACTTGAATAGAAGCATTTAGTTCAATAGACACTTCAATCAAGACAAAAATGAGTATCTGCTATTTATATTGAAATCTATTAAGTCATTGTTCTTATTCATCAGAAAATATTGCTATGCTTACTTCATTAGATTCACATTTCATGTCTTCATATTGAGCGTGATACGTTTACATAGATATTAGAAAAAAAAAAGTAAAAAAAAAAAAAAAGAATAAAGAAAGCAAGACAATTAAGAAAGTAGGAGTTGTTTCTTATAGCACTTAGCAGATATAAAATGTGATGCTCTTCTGCGTTTTTTTTATAAAACAATACGTTCACATTTGAAACCAACCAAGCATATAGACATTTTTCTATTCTTAAAAAAAAAGGAGCGTCTTTCTATATAGAGAAATTCTTCTTATTATAAATTAGCAGCACACATTCACATTTTGTCACTACACCGAAGAAAATCACAAACATGCAAATAAACTCTCATTTAGTCTGGTTACTATTAGCATTTGCTATTGTTTTAATTCAGTATGTTAGTTTGTTTGTTTTTTGGTAAATAAAAAAGATTTAATTTCTTTTTTAGTGCACGAAATGTTCATTATGATTTTAATGGTCTATTAAATGATGATGATTACAAGAACAATGCACAGGAACGACAAATGTTTCATCTCAATCGTAAATCACCATTATTTGACAAAAGTTTATCCGATCCTTTTACAAGCGAAGAAATTATTTTAAATCCACAAGAACGATCACTAGCTACGGCAAGAAGAGCTCAAGCCATTGTCAAAGGTGATCCAAGAGAGTTTATGGGATAAAATCGACTGTAGTTTTTTATTTTTGAATAAATAAATATTCAGTATACATTCTATGTCGACATAAACTTTTGTGTTATTAAAATAAAATATAAACTATTCATTCGAATTCTATCACCGGCTCTACCTGTGGGTTCTGGTGATATTTTGAAATCTGTCGGATTTATTTTTTCCTAGGGTATTTTTATTATCTTCAATATATGATTCTATGATTGATCTACATATTAATGTAAGAATAGAGATTGGGGCCGAAGGTTGAAGTGATGTTTCTCGGAAAAACTTAAGAAAGCTTGCTTGTCTTTAAATTTTAGTATAGTATCAATAGACTGTTGATGTTTTATTTTATATTTTCATCGACTGGAAAAGTTTCTCATGCTTTTCTGATTGATTCAGCAAAGGTCTAGTAGATAATGCTTCTCTGAATAAAAGACTCATAAATCCACCAGTTCCTCTTATCTATATCTATTATAACGATAGTTTCCAATAATGTTGAAATAGTTTCATAATTTATTGTTGCCATTTACAATATAAATAAATTCATCGAAAGTTTCGAAATTCATTGTATCGACATACTTGAAAATAACTTTCAAATTTCAGATAATATTGTCTTAGAAAATGCTAAGAAATTCTAGCAATGTTACTTGATTTTTTGATTTATTAGAGTCTTCAAAATATGAACTAATAAAATGCTAGGCAATGATGATGAAATAATGATTGATTCTTTTGTCATTCTAGTCGACAAGTTCTAGGAAGGATGTGCAAAAAGCTTCTCATCTCAATATGTTCTATAACCGGAAGATAGATGTTTCTAGCTGTTTTACTTTCTATCTTCGTCTTAATATAGTTTTATCAATGAGACAGAATGATCAATATTCATAGAATTACACTTTTTAAATGGTGTGTTAGTCCTCAATAATCTTTAGAAAAACTTATTAAAAAAGACATGAAATGGAAGTCAAAACAGCCTATATCTTACAATATCAAAGTATTCTAGAGCGTGATTACAAAAATTTTTTTTTTGTCATATAATCAATTTTATTTATTAACATTTTTATTTATGAAGAACACTGATCTTAACAATATATGCAAATATCATGCATTAGAAAATGTTGGCAAATTTTTTCCACTTCGCGACACACAATTGACTAGATAAAAAGTCATTTTAAAATTACTTTTTTCTATTCAATTTTGTACTGTGAAGCGAAAAATATATCCAAACAGTTGTATAGAAAGAAAACAAGTGACGTCCATCGTGACTTGATTCACTTGGTGTTGAATTAACGAGAGAGAAATATGCATATTGGCACATCTAGTTACTAATTTACCTTAGGTGAGGTAAAAGATAAATGCAAGAGCTTGATATATAAAAGCAACGCGTTTCACAAGACTAATTTTCTCATAATATAAAACGTGATTTTCATGCTAAGAAAGAAAAACCAATTTTGAATATAGTACACATGTTTAAATAAATTTAGTGAATCTATGAAATGTTATTAGTTTCTTACAGAAATTTTTTATACTGTTCTTAAAAATTTATTTTTAATTTGAAATTATAATATTGATATATTTCTAATTCTAAAATTTTATCTATCATGTAAGATTATAAAGAGTTATATATTGATTTGAGAAATTTTACACTCGACGTTTCAATAGTTTAAATAACAAAAATAAGATTAAGAACTATCCGGTTTTTCATCATTCATACTATTCTTGCGTTGTTTATTTTTGGAATAACGCTTGTGTATGTAAATATATATTGATTTATAAAGATAGTATAGAAATTAATGCAATTATTTACAACAATTAGTTATTTTAAGTTATCATGATCTTATGCTCATATTCTCTCTCTAATTCTGAATAATTATCAAATCATATTTTCATGTATACACTAATGAACAATCGATTGAAGCATTCAATAATTAACTAAGAATGATTGTCACTTATAAGAACATCTCCTGTTGAACAAACACATTCTTAAACGACCGTAAAACGTCGTATAGATTGAAACACCAAGCATATAGGATCGTTTCACAACACATATGGTTTTCATATTCTTCGTTGTGGTATATTACTTCTCCACTAAATTGAATCATAAAGCATAAGGATATTCTTTGTAATAAAATATAAAAATCGGGATTTTTTCAAATTATTTAGAAAAAATACTTCTGAAAATTAATTTTGAATTACGCATACATGATTAGGTGTCTGTATCTGTTATGTCATGGAATTAAAGATTTTTAATCCTAATTCTTGCAAAGATGCAATCATCATAAAATTTCATTGAAAATTTTCAATTAGAATGTGATTCGACAATCCTTGTATGCCTAAAAACTTGGTTAACATCAAACCGTTTTCCACGAAACTTTTACCAGATATATATGTGAGAAAATGTCGGCCGTAAGCATTAAGCTGATGTTAATCAACTGTCATAGAATGCAGTAATATGGCAAAAATTACTTTGAACTATTTTCACATTAGTCTTAGCTTTAGGAGACTTTCAGACTTGATATGCTAATCACTTTCAAGCGCTTGAAAGTGAGAGGTGTATCAAATATAAAAATCTCTTAAAAGCTCAGCCTAAGGTCAAAATAGTTCAAAGTAGTTTTTGCCATATAATTGCATTCTATGTATATCATTGAATCAACATCAGATTAATAGTTGAGCTAAGTTTTTAGGCATGCTAGGACTTTTGAGCAGAAATATCTAAATAATTTGTAAGTTTATCAGATTGACATTTAGTATAAATATCAATAATCAAGTTTTGTGATGTGTTGACCTTGTTTTCAGATGATCGCTTGTAATATTTTTAGAACACTATTAATTATTTTCTCACATTTTTCTATGCTAAAATTTTTCTATATATACTTTTGGACAATCCAAAAATAGTGGCAGTGACACTTTATTTTCGTGAATAAGTTATAGGAAAATTGATTTTTATATGCAGATATAGTACAAACGATACTCTATTTTTCTATGGTATTTATTCATTATTCAGCTAATATCATAATAATAAAATTTCGATAAGACCTCTGTTTCTCTTATATGTAAGTGTTATACTAATGCTAATTTAAAAGACAGTGTGGATATTTTTTGAATAACTTCTTATATAAAAGAGAGAGAGCTGTGGATTTCATCGTTCGAAAGAGGAGACAAAAATGCATCGAGTCGTATATTATACGCTGTTTAATCGCTTTTCTAAGTATGAAAAAAAATGGTTTTTTATCAGAAATGAAACAACACAAAACCTTTTCTCATAGACATAACTAGAACAATCACTTAAAACTTCAACTAAAAACCTACTACTCCTTAATGATTAATTCTTGAATATAGACGTAATAAATGAAAAATTGTTGTGAATACTTAACGCGTTAGGTTTCTTTTCAAAGACATTGATTGAAAACTTAAAACAGTCATGTTGAAAAAAAGCATATAATGTACTATTCAATGCATTTTTTGTCTCCTCTGTCGAACGATGAAACCCACGGCTTTCTATCTCTTTTCTATAAGGAAATTATTCAAAAAATATCCACACCGTCTTTTTGAAATAAGCATCAGTATAACGTTTGCATATATCAGAAAAATAGGGCCTATCGAAATTTTATTATTATGACAATAGCTGAATAATCACAGAATACCATAGAAAAATAGAGCATCATTTGCGCTATCTCTGCATATAAAAAATAAAGTTGCCTAAAGCTTACTCTACGGTAATAAAGTGTCAATGCCATTATTTTTGGATTGCCCTAAGTCTATAGTTTTTGTTTTACATCATCTAATAAATTAAATTCATATTTAGTTAGAGTTTTTAAATAAAATTGTATTACTTTATAAAAGAAGACCACCAGTATGAATTGTTATAAACATCAATCATAATCAATATTCGATGAAAAAAAGGACTGTTGTCGGTACTGAAAAAAAATTAAAATTCTCATCATTTTACCAACACTTTCAATGAGACTAATACTGATGTTTCCTCAATATATTTTCATCAGCTTCCGTTTGAAGCCAGGTTCTTATTGTATTGTTTTGTTAATCTTAGTTTATTTTTATTATTGGTTTCAACAGTTGAAGAAGTTTAATCTAGTGATTGATGTATTCAATTCATTGTTTTTAGATTACGTATTCGAGAAGAAAACATCAACAATTTTCAGTTTTCTCTTTCTTTCCTTGTAGGAAATAACACGATGATACACACGTTTGGTCAGTATTAGCAGTCTATTAAAATTTCAAAATCAGCTATAAAGACTTGATCTTCTGATCCGAGTAGAACATTCAGTGATACAGCTTTTCATAAATACGTTCTGTAAGACAAAATTCAGTGAATATTCTGTAGTAATTCAATAGTCTATCTATGTTTTCGAAGATAATCGCTGATATTTATGCAAGAATGAGAAAGTCCGAAGTCGTTTTAGAATTAATGTACCACTTTTTGATATGTATTTTATAACTCAATAAAAGTTTGAAATATTGTTTGAATAGACATATTCGAAGAAAATTGCTAATCTAGTATAGATGAAAGAATAAGATTTTCGATATCGAAAAATTGACGATGAATTGAACTCTCCAATTCATCGTAGTTTTCTTATAATATAAATACAACCTTGTCTTAAATTATTTTCTATACTACTTGTTAAAATGTATAAATAAATATTGAGAAAGCAACACCCTTGAAAGAATTACATTCATCAATTACTTGTGAAAATTTTTATCATTTAACATATTTAAATATATTGGTAAATATAATAATTTATAATAAAAATCCGAAATATCAAAGAAAATTTCTAAGACATACTTTTATAATTTTCTGTTTTCTTATAAATACAATAAAAATCAATTAGTGATTATCATTTCTTGAAAAAATAAACTCGTTATTCAGTATAAAATACAAAATAATAAACAACATTTTTTATACATTAGTTTATTTTTCACACTGAGCCAGACTTTCCAGAAAAAAAAAATATTTACTCATACTAAAATCTATACGAAAAATACAATGAAGTATACAGTACATTTAATTCTTGATGTCTATTACTACTAGTATGTTATTTATATTAGTTCAATTTAAATTTTATGTATATCAACACCATGAAGTGTTGATATAGCTAATAAATCGAAACCAAAACGACAAGCAGAACAAGGTGTTGGATTATAATAACATGTAGATTTGAGTTTACCATCCATTGTTATTTGAAAAAGACGTGATGTATTACTATCAGTAATTAACCATTGATCATAATTAAGTAAACAACAACTTATTTTTTTAGTTTGATAACCAATATCTAATTGAAGTGACCATAAACGATCAAGTCTTGCTGATGATCTTAATTCTACACGAATTTTATCTGTTAATGAATTTTCAATAACTAAAAAAAGTGTTCCTTTATTAAAAACCATATCATGAATACGTTCATCTCTAGAACATGTATCTGGTGTTTCCCATCTTTTAGCTGCTTGTAATGAATTTAATAAATTAAATTCACATATTGATGAACCATTTTCATTTGTTGATAAAAATAATGATGCATCTGAACATGTACAAGAAAGCCAACGTAATTTTTGTGTTGCTTCTACACGATCAATAGATATTGTATTAATATCAAATATATAAATTTGATTAAGTGTAATAAGAAAAAATTTCTCTAATGCTGATGACCAACACATATCAAATATTTGTCCATGACCCCATATTGTTTGTTTTATTATTTTAAAATTTCGATCAATTAAACATAAATTTGGTTCTCGATGTATTAATAAATATTGATTATTACTTGCTATTGGATATAAACCTTGTCGTGTATAATCAATAGTTTTATATGCTGCTGATAATGAACTAAGATCAAATTCTTCTATTGATAATTCATCAATATGAATTAAATCTCTATCTAATATTAATGGTGATGTACGAAGTGAAAGATGTTTTTGATCAATATCATTCATTTCATTTTCAATTGTACGAAGATTTAATGTTAATGATTCAATTAATTCAAGTGTCATTCGATGTTTTTGCATAAGTTCAACTATATTTGTACGAAGTTGTTCAACATTTTCACGTTTTTGATTGATTATTTTCATAATATATTGTTCAATTTCACGATATTTTTGATCACAATATTGATCAATTGTTTTATAACTATCAAAACGCCATTGTTGAAGTTTGTCAGTAGAAGTTTGAATATATTTTTTTAAATCAATTGCTAATAATTGTTTATCAAATGTATCAATTTCATCAACTAAGAGATTTAATTTTGAATTAAGATAATCATGTTCATTATAATGATTTCGACAAAGATTTTCTTTACAACAATAACATAATACATTTGCTGGACGTCTACATGCAGTTATGACGCATTTTAAATTCGTAACATTACTTTCGAGAGACATCTGCACACACCAACTTAAGTTAGTAGTCACTAATGTGAAAAATATTTTTGTTTCTCTTTTTTTATACACATCATTTACTGTTTGCTGAAGAAAAGAGAAAGAAAAGCAGTCGAAAAATGTTTGCAACCTTCAACAATCATGCAGAATAAAGAGCACTTATGTGATTATTTTTTTTTGGTTATTTGCAATTCGATATGTGTTAGTTGTATAAAAAGAAAACGAAGAATATACATAAATAATGCAAGTCAAATAATGCGTCACATTGACTATCAAAATGAAATCTATTTTTGATAAAGTATTCAATTGATGATCCTTGAGGTTATGTTGATATAATGTGTATTAATGTTTTTTTGATAATTTTATTAATATCTCAAGTTTGAGAACGGTGATTCACGTTTTATTGAATAAGAATAATTAGTTCACATTGAAACATAATCGATTATAGTTATTGAAAAAAAAAATGTAAGGACGATTGATAATGTTTCGTTCTTTTTCATATGAAGGTTTTTTGGATATTATTTTGTTATTTTATTTTATGACATAGTAAAACAAAATATTGATAAATTGTTAATAATTACATGTGTATATAGTATGCATGGTCTTATTTATTGATTTATGATATATGAGATCGAGTTTGTTTGATTCTGATCTCATTCTTGAAAATATTATTTTTTACAGCTTACCTACGTAGTCTTATATTTATGTTTGTGAATCAATGCAATATTGTATTTCTTTTTGTATTTTGTACGAATGATAAACACTTCATCACTACACAATATTTAAAAGGCAAGAAAATTCTTCCATAATAAACAAAAACATATTGGTGTACATATACAGCTGTTAGTCGGTTGCAACATATCTGTTTTCTTATTATTCTTTCGACTTGTTTAAAAGAAATCAATAGAGAATTTTTCATTCACTATTCACAATACTGAGCTATAATATTATAAATATTGCTGATGAAAAAATGGAAAAAAAAAGATTTAAGTCTCAAAAATACTAACTTATTTTGTATGATGACTAATAACAGTAGCTTGTTAATTGACTATTGTTAATTTGTTTTACTCATCTTATTTCTGTACACATTCAATTTGATAATGTAAATACTGATGTTCAGTACATCATTCCATGAGAAATAATTGACAAACTTCATATAAAACAACATGTTACCAATAAGTACGCATACCTGAATGACATTCAACTTCGATATAGATAAATATGCATAGAACAATTCAAAATTTATGGGCTGTTAAAGCAGTAAATCTTGAAGAAGCACGTGGTATAAAACAAAATTTCTGCCAAATCTTATATGTCACCAACAAGAAGCGATTGTAATAGTTTAGAATGTTTAGTCCAATAATTTAAACTATGAATGTCAAGTGAAGGTAATAAATGAAGATCATGTCTATCTAGAAATAGATTATCATCAGAGCATGCTAATAGTAAAATGAGATATTAATTTATCTGAAACATAATCGCGTGATCGTTTATCTTCATCAAACGTTCCATCATATTCCCTATAATCATGACTACAGCTGACAAACTGTAAAATGAAAATTAAAAAAATGCAAAAGGAGAAATACCATGCTTGACTTATAAGTGCAGGAGAAATCGTTTAATATAACCGAAAACGTTCGAGCCAAATATTATGTATTGAGAGAGGTTTGAATTTTTTAGTTGAATGATACAGTTTTTTTGCTAGTAAGACCTAACCAAGCCATACACCAAATAAGTTGCGTTCGTTAAAGACTTTAGTTATTCACTGTAACGATGTATGAAGTTGATATGTTACAAGCTGTTCATATATAGCTTCAATCTCATTGAAAAATTTGGTTGTTTCTATTTTTGAACAAAGAAAAACTAATCGATATTTATGTTTTACAAAGCTCGGGTGCAAAACATATATGAATTGTTGCATCACATCGTTCCTTTTCTGAACCTTCCCTTTAAAAATTCATATGTTCAATCAGCACACCGGCAACTCAGTGATTTTCAAGGGGAGAGAGCGAAATTCTGAACTCTAGAATGTTCATCGATTCTGTTGCATTCTATTAAATTCTAGCATTATGCTAATGTTCCTCAGCGATTTTTTGACATAAGTTAAATCAAATCAACAAATGACCTGATTGGTCCATCTCTAATCGTTTGCAACAATAATATATTTTACCAATATAATTATAGTAATGTAAACTGAATGAAGGTATATTCGAAAACAAATAGTTTATTGGGAAATGCAATGACCAATAAAAATCGAAAAAAAAGATTTTCTAAGTATTTCAAAAATCTTTCATATTTTCTGTCAACGTCAATCCATTTTGTCGCAATACTTACTGTTGTCGATTGTTATTTGTCCACAGCATTTCAAATCAAAACTTGAAATTCAAGTGCGTAAAACACTAATTTGTATATAAGGCTTTTTTTCTGCTTGACTTGATATAAACAGCCAAGTCACAAGTCAAATGAGACTTTAATTACCCGTCTCTGTTCCGTGCATAATTATACTTGAATATATACATATAGCGAATTGCTAAATATAAAACCTTACTTTCATTTGACTTGATAAAAATAGAAATATTTCAAACAAAAGAGCGAATACGATTATACACCCATTGATCTCTGAGTTAAAGGGTTATGTATTGATTTAGATACTATTTTCGTCAATGTTGAAGTAAATAAATTAATAGAGAAATCTATAATAACTAGAAGATATCTAGCAAAAATGATTGAATGAATCAAATAAAACTATTAGAAACACTTATAATTCTATGCATTGCATTTTAATTAGAAAAGATAACAATACTTTGTATAAAAATAATAACCTATTTTAAATGAAACTTCCAAAAGAAAATCAAATGTGTAGCTTGCAAAAAATGAGGCTAATTCGACTACAAAACACTGATTTCTTTTAGATTCGATTCTGTAATATCTTGAAGAATTTTGATGATCATAACATGTTCGATCACTCAATCAGGTGGAAGAGATGATCCATAAGATAATAATATACAAATCACTGCATAGAATGGCTTTATAAACATAATATATCACATACTAATTAGAGTTAGTAGATATATATATATATACTTAGAAACTAGTTTTGACTGAGTTACTCGAACTTCATCATAACATTTTAATTAATAAAAAAACATGAATTGTTTCCAGTCCGTAAATTTATAAAAAAAAAGAAGCATTACGAGACAGGACCAAATGTTATATCTCATTAGAATCGTTAGATATTGACCTTCAAACGTCTCGTATTAGTTTTTATAGATATTGGTTAATCGTTGAGAAAATTACATTTTTTCTATTGTTTCCTTCTTATATGCTACAATTGTGACTAAATATGCATATATTTAATTTGTTTTGCCTCCATTTTTTTCGTGATATAAAAAAGCAGTTAAAATATTCCGATTCATCATAAAAAACTACAAAGAAAAGTTCTGACAATATTATTTTGATGCCTCTTCTCGAATATTAGTTTTTGAAAATTAACCTTGTGGTTCTCCAGGCAGAGGATTTTCATGTTGATTTTGAATATTTTTATTGTTTTTTTATATCCCGAAAAAATTGAGACTAAATTAACTAAATATGTGCATATTTAGTCACAACTTTAGCATATAAGAAGGAAACAATCGAAAGAACGCAATTTTCTCAACGATTAAACAATATCTAGAAAAACTGCCACGAGACGTTTGAAGGTCAATGTCTAACGGTCCTAACGAGATATGACATTTGGTTCTGTCTCTTAGTGCAAAAAGTAGAAATGTTTACAAAAATGTCTATAGATATCACAAGACTTATGCGATAGATCCATATTGGACAACCATTCATTTTGAACTCATTTAAATAGCGTCTTTTAATTCTAGTGTTAATGGTTAGTTAGAAAATAGGTCTTTGAAAATCTTATTCAAATGTAAATACCAAAATATTTGTAAACTCATGAGAAAAGCTCATCATTCAGGAGTTTTGATTCGTTTTTAAACCTTCAACATCTTTTGTTTCTTTTTGCCTAAAAACCATGAACTAATCAATTTACAATTAATATAACTCTGACAAATATTTCGTGCTCTATCGAGTGCGATATAAAGGAGCGAGATAAAAATATATACTCAATTTTTTCATGATTTGTGCACCTTATAATGACACCATGGGAAGCGTTATTTTTTTTTCTCCACAAGTCCAATTTTTCAAAATTTTCATTCATTTCCTTGGATGAAAACAATTATTAATGGAAAAACTTATTTTTGTATGCATTCCAATGAAACGAATAATCTGTTCTTTCCAAATTATTCATTTTTGTGGACAATGAAGGACTTTAAAAACAAGTAACTAGTAGAGTTTTATTTATATCTTTGCTTGTAATATTCGTCGTATCTCAAACTAGAAGTTTATTCAAGATGAGATATAACGTTTGATGTGGTGTTGTTATCCATACATCGTAGTTATTTTCATGTGGGCATTGACAATGATATTACCTCGTAAACATTTCCTTCATGCCTATTTTGTGATGCATATGACATGGTTATGTCTTTTTTCTCTACTGGCACATGTCGAATTTAGTATGACTAAAAAAGAAGTACGCATATATGTTCTTCTTTTCTTAGAGTTTTTCTTTGTTAAATATGATTACAGTAAATTTTTAATTTATAATTAAATTCAAGAAAGCATAAGATCTGGTTGAATCAGAGAGGAATTATAAACTTGTTTGTCGTATTATACCGCAAACTTTATTTATTACATACGTGTCAATTGATCGATTTGATAGTAGTAATCTTTATTTGTGTCACGACCGTCATTTTTTCATACTTTTTTTCTTCCTTCTTGAAAAAATATTCTAACTTTTAGGAAAGAGGAAATAAGTTTGTTGTTTTTTCTTGAGTATATTAAGATTTGTTTGTGTATTGATAGTTGCTTCTTCTTGTTACTTTTATTTATTGTTATATTTTATAAAAGCATGTGCCTCACATAAGTAGACATAATCTAACATTCGTATGTATGGACGC